GATTAAATTAAACGTAAAATACAAAGGATTGCTTGTTTGTGACCTTCTTGTTTTGTTTTGTTTTATCATTCTGTTCTTATGGGCTTTTTGGCTAATTAGCCAAAGCCTAGAATGTGAGAATTTCTTAACTTACAGTCCATGTAAACGTTGCGTCTGATGAAATAATTCACATCTGTTGATTGTCTAGCTCCATTCACCCTTTGCTGTTTCAAAGAGTACATTAGCCTATTATATAGTAAACAGTATACAGTAAATGTTATATAAAAGCACAGGATTTTATTAGTTTACACTGCTGCTTGACAGAACTGGGCTGTATGTAGTGTCATGAGTCCAGTTTTTTTTTTTTAAATCAGTTTTATTGTTTCATGAAAGTGTTACAACACCAAAGTAACCCAAACACATCAAAGAGATCAGGTTTTAACCTGGTATCAAACCAGGATAAAACTGAAAAAGATCCCACTGATACTGATAGGCCTGGAATCTCTGACTCAGCATTACCAGATGTCTCTGTTAAATATTTGCACTAATACTCTGACTCCCTCTGCTGACAGAATCGCAGCAGTGGCTCCAATTTGCATCAGACTGAGGTTTGCAAACATACTTTAAAGACGTCCATTGTTTTGATAACCTTAAACTTTTTAACTTTTTTTTCTCCACATAGGCTGTACTACCAGGTTTCTCTCCTACATTTTAGTATGTATTCATATGTATGTATTTGTTTAAATGTGTTTGTTGGTGCTCACATGCATGTGTATTTGACACAAATTGCTTATTTGATAAGATCATTGCTAAGGCTTTTGAGATTATGACACTTGAACAAAACGTCTGTTTTCTTTTGAGAGAACATAAAAAATTACATTAAACTCCAAAGTCACATTTTTCAGTTCAGGTCAATTCAATTTTATTTATATAATGGCAAATCACAACAACAGTTACCTCAAGGTGTAATATAAGGTAAAGAGCATACATTAATACATTAAAACCAAACAATCAGATGACCCCCTATGAGCAAGCACTTGGAGAAAGTGGGAAGGAAAAACTCAATTTCAACTGGAAGAAACCTCCAGTAGAAGCATGCTCAGGGAGGGGCAGTCATCTGCTCAGGGCACTCAGGGCATCGTGGGAACCCCCCCAGTAGAGGTTCAGAGTTACCTGATCCAGCCCTAACTATAACCTAATAAAAAGAAGGAGTCAAGTTCTATTTTAAAAGCAAACATACTGAATGTTGACTTGTAGGATTTTGTGGTGTTACATGCTGTAACCTGAACATCAACAAAGTAGATGTTTGATCCAGTGTAAGACACCTGGTCTAAACTTTTAAAAGGACAAATGTGCAGGATGTGAATAAACTCTGTATTTAGAATGTTGAAGACTTTCTAGATGGTTCAGTCCAAATGGTACAAACATCAACAGTGTTCCAATCCGACTACAATCTCAGTTGATTTGTAAAATTGCCCAGCAGGCAAATGTAATGCGTTATGCATAACCCCCGCTCTCACTCTCTCCGGGCATGCATGCACAAACGCACAGTTAAGTCGAGTCATATCTGGTGTCAGTCAGCCACTCCCTATGAACACTGTCTCAACATGTTCTGTAATAATTAACCAGCTGCTGTGGGGTGCTACACACGCTCACCTCCTGCCACATGCACCGTACTCTGGACCTCCTACCACAAACACACATGTACATTATGCACACATGAGAGCTCGAACATGGAGTGAACTTGCTTCATTCTATAGAAGATTAAAAGATACACTAGTCAGGTAAGAGGAAATTTACTTTTGGTACATGTTTACTTTATACTTTGGTTTGTTAACGTGTTCTTTGCAGCTGTAAAAGAACCAAAGAGTGTCTGGCTTAACAAAATGGAAATGAAATGCGTTACACCTCTTTCAGAGCAACACTTGCCAGTCACATTAAGAAAATAAAAGACTGTAATAGTTGAATTCTTTATATTATTTGTATGAAAAGCATACTCATTCTATGTTAGCCACATGGGGCGGACACCAATGTCACAGACTAGAGCTCATGTGACTCGAGTCATACAGTAGCCTGATACAGCACAGTTTATCTGTAGGCTGGAGTAGAACAAAGCTGGGTTCTTTATCACAATGTTTGTCAAGTTTTGCAGCCCAGGTGCAAGAAACAATCAGAAGGTATATTAAAATGACATAATCAGGTCAAATCTAGGGAGAAACAAAGAGCAAGGGCTATGTATGAAGACAGTCAGATACAGATAGGAGTGGCAAAATGGGGAGGAGCAAAAAGTAAAGTAAAGGAAATAAAACAAATACATTGGTGTGTGTTTGTTTTCTTTGGCTTCATTCCGTTTTTATAGAACCACAGCTGACAATCTGAAAAAGGCTTTTATTGCATACACACACAAAATCATCTGTTCAACCTCCAGATAACATCGTACTAAAAGTAAAGTGAAGCAGTCAACTGTGGCACTGAATTGTGTGAAGTGTATATGCCAAAGAGTTGTAAAGGTTTCCGAGTGATTATCTCATGCTATCAGAACATATGCCCTCTCAAAATATAAATAAATAAATAAATCTATTTCCTGATGGTTTGTTTAGCGGATTAGCAGAGAGAGGGCTGTAAAGTGTTTACCTACAGTGGGATTTTTACTCACCACTAGTCTCTTGAGAGAACATAAATATATGTCATGGTTCTATTCAAACGTCACATTTGATGCTGGCAATTTCTTTCTTTTTTGTTTTTCTTTTTGCCTGCAAGCAAGATTTACAACTTTAAAGGTCACTTGTCTTCCAGTGGATGTCCACCCTCAAAGCATGCTTTGTATAGACTTTAAGAGTAAACTTTTGATTATAATATGCAGAATATTTTTTAAATGAAGAATTAATTCTAAAAATGTATAACTACATTGTAACAAAATGCAAAAAACAAAATTATTTAAAATAATTACATGTTTGTGAATACACTATAATACTGTGAATGTGGATGCTGTGTGAAATGGTGATAAATTGCTGGGCATTCATTATATTCTTCAGTATATATACAGTAGTTGTTTCCTTTATATTACAAAGGCTTATAAGAGGTCAGTGAAAGAGCTGACATTATTATATGCTAGAGCTTAAATTTTCTGCAGCTTACTACCATGTATCACTTTTTTTTACTAGAAACTGTTCTTGTCGATCACATTAGTGCTGTGATTTCTTAAAGCAAATACCATTGGAATGATTTAACCTTTGCATAATGTTCAGGACAAATTTGGACCATTTCAAGATTAAATATAAAAATAAAATACTTACAAATGTCTAAATGTCAATCTTTTAGCCTGAATAGTGGCTTGAGAAGTATTGCCATGGCACAGATACAAGGTCTGAAATATGGTTGGATTATGGAGGTCCAAAACCCAGTTAGGGCCTTTCTGTGTGGCGTTTGCATGTTTGACCAATTCCAGAGCACTTGGGTTATTCTGGCTTCCTCTCACAGTCCAAACACATACCTGTTAGTTTAATTGATAATTCTAAATTGGGCATTTGTATGAGATATTGCTTGAGCTGCACTATGAAGTCATAAAGTGATATATATATTAATTTTAAATGGTTAAAACAAAACTTGTAGCTAAAAGTGCTTTGAGTGGTCACAAAGAACAGAAAGGTTATATATAAATGAAAGTACATCCTGTGCTTGTTTGTGCTGTGTAACTACAAGCAAGCAAAATAAACAAATGAGAATCGTTTTATACTGCGCAAACTGAGATTAAACTAACTGAGAGCTAAGATTAAAACAGAGCTCATAAGTGGGGTTGTGGGATCATAAGATTAGAAAGGCACGTGACTTACCAATGCTTTCAATGCACAGACTGGTTTGCAATAGGCAAGTTTTTGTTTTTTTGTTTTTTGCTTTAAGATTTAATTATAAATGGGGTTTTTTTGTGAAACAAGTGAAGTCAATGATTAATGATTATAATAGTTCAACACGGTTATATTTGTTCTTGCGATTTTCACTCTCAATAAAAAATAGATAAATTACTATGCTTGTAATGGTTAAATCTCTTAGGTGAGATGATGTTCTCAAAAATGAGTGTTATTAAACTTAAAAAATGAAACACGTATTAATCTTAATAGGCAATTTATACATTCTAAAAAGAGTTGCTGATTAAAATTTGTTGGAAACCCTAAACTCTGCATGTTTAAGAGGGAAAACATACAAACTGCTGTATTTAACTCAAACTCGGGAGCTGGAGTCAGCATGATGAGTATGATAATACTTTTTTTAAAAACAATTTTAGCAAACGTTATTATAAAAGTACATTTGCTCTATGCCAGGGGTGTCAAACTCAAATACACAGTGGGCCAAAATTCAAAACTGGAACAAGGTCGCGGGCTAACATTAATATTTATTGAAAAAAAAAATCTTCCTCCAGATATAAGAATGAATCTTTTCTTATGGGCTCAAACAAGTTTTGCTGAAAACCTGAATATGGAACAAGCAAAGCTTAATACTAAACAATATATATATATTAGCTGTATAATACCAGTAGGCCAGCTCTAATAGTAATTTGGTATGGCTTCGCGGGCCAAATGTAATTAGGCTGCGGGCCAAATTTGGCCCGCGGGCCAGAGTTTGACACCTATGCTCTATGCCATGTACTTCAGTACTTCATTCACACAAACATGCCCACCTGGGATTTGTTACATAGACCCTGGATTTTCAAATAAACTCCAACTCCAAGCTTCTATCATTATGATGACCATTATTATTGTAATTAGAGGAGTTGTAGTAGTAGTAGCACATGGTTATAAACATAGTGTTTTCTATCAGAAAAGAGTAAAAAAGAGTCTTGACTGATGCTTTGATACATTAGGGATTGTACATTGTGCTTTACTGTTACAGTGCCTAAATGCAGTTTTACATTAAAGTTTGTTGCCAGATTCAGTCAAATCTTCATGTGCACATAAGATACAAATACCAACGTTTTTCTGTAGAAACTCCGTGCTTAAAGTTTTGTTATTGTTATCGTTGTAGCTGGCACGTCTCCCTGTGCAAGAGGAAACAGTCAGTCAGAAAGAGGAGTGCCGTGGCTTCTGGTATGACAGCTGCTGAATAACTGAGATATTACTTACCAGCAAACAGGCTGAGGCAGAGAAAACCGGTAAGAATGAAAGAAATAGACATATATGACTGCTGTTTTCAGACTGCTGGGAGTTTTTGCAGGATTCCAGAAAATAACAGGAGAAAGAAGTTTTTGCTTTTTTGTTTTTTAAATGAGGCAACATGAATATTCCAGCAGTCCTCTTTGTCGGTCACAGACTTCGGCGTCTCTGACCAAAGAATAAACAAATGGTTAGGTCTACACTGTCATCACGGGTTGCTGGGTGGAGTGCAGCTATAAAATTTCTTAGAGACGAGCACAAAAAAGAAAGTAAAAGAGTGAATGCATGTTAGAGAGAGAGAGAGAGAGAGAGAGCAAGAGAAAGAGAGAGAGGGATAAATATAACACAAACACATCAGAGAGAGAGACAGAGAGACTGGAAAGAGATATTTAAAGCACAGAAGGAAGAAAGAGGCAGACACAAAGACAGTGAGAAGAGAGGATAGCTCTGACTCACCATGTTAGAGGAGGTAAGACTCGATTTATTTAATTTGTTCTTGGAAACACTGACAGCTGGTTCAGGATTGTAGAAGTGCACTGTAGCTCCCAGTGTCTTTCCTTGCTCAAGTTGCACATAATGCTGGTTAACTATTTTTATGGAGCCATATGCACGACTACGCAATACTGTTCACCAAGTTGGCAGCATCTGATGTTAGTCACCTGATTTTACACTCAAGCTTACACGTATATGTTTGAGGGTTTTTTTTATAAAGTTTTCATTAACTTTATAAAATTGTTTGTTTGTTTTCACAGCAGTAGATGACCAGACATGAATGAAGCAGCTCTCCTCCCAGTCATCAAGGCAGGGAATGGGAGAACACTGTCCAGGTGAGTTACTTTGTATACTAAATGTCATTTATGTATTCTGTATTTCATGTTCCCTTAAGTGGTTCCAAATAATCTGACAAAGAATACAGAATATAAAATAATAAACTAATAAATATGACCTGAACATTGTCGGGCTGTGCTGTGCAAAACCTTACATTTAGTTTTTTATTAATTTTAGAGCAGAGTTTCTCTCCCTGTTTAATACCTACAACTGCTTCCTGAAGGACCAGACTCAACTTCACCTCACTTACGCTCAGGTATGATTTAATAAGAATTTGAAATAGGTTTCCATTTTGTTTCCCAATTCTTGAGATGTTCACATTGCTAGTTAGTAATGATAATTAATAGGTAATATACAAAAGCACCATGATTCAATGGTTAGTGCTTTGGCTTCCTGGGGTCAAATGCACCTGCCTGTTTAGGCCTGTCTGTGTGGAGTTTGCATGTGTGTGGGTTCTCTCACACTACTCTGACAGAAAAAGATTGTTTGTCCTTGTCTGTGGTAGCCAATAGACTGCAGACCTGAGTCCTGTACTTCAGTGTTAATCCTGGGTTTTTAGTACTGTGAAGGTGGATCACTTCTTACAGGTGTAGATGGTAGCTTACACTGCTAGCCTAACCTGCTCAGGAGCAGGTTATGTTCCACATCATAGATCAACAGGTATTTAACCACCACCTACTAGCCAGTTTTTCCTGAAAATAGCGTCACCATTCCTGGAAGATCTCCCAGACTTCTTTGCACAGAAAGTAGGTGGGCCTAAAGTTCAAGTAGTTTCTAAAGTCTCTGTGTTTCCCCATTGAGCATCAGTATTAAATATAGATTCCTATGCATAAATGTATTCCTTGATTTTCTGTTTTCCTGTTCACAGTGAACAAATTAAAACAGTGTTATTATTCTATAAACTTTAATTTATAAACCTAAAACAAAGCACCCATTTGTACTTGCTGCTCTTACTGCGTATTGCATTTGCTTGTAGAATAAGCCTATTTTTTTTATATTTATTTGTTATTTGCTTGTTTGTTTCTTAGACCATTAAATAATAACCAATTATCATCCATTAGATTCCCCCATGACATAATGATAGAGCTGTAATTTTGATAATTCTGTTGATAATTCTAATGTCTCATGCAGTCTCCAACTTTATAGCTATATGCAGTCCCGATCAAAAGTTTTAGACCACTTGAAAAATGGCATAGTTGAAAAATTTTGCATAGTTGGATCTTAACTAGGTTCCAAGGTTCCAACTGAAACTGAACTGTTTTAGAGTTGATCAAAAGTTTAGGACCAAACCTCCCAAAAAAACCTGTAAACCCCACCAAAACAGAAATCAAAGTTCCAAACATGAACTCAGTATCGAATAGCTCCACCATTATTGTTGATCACTTCAAAAAAATGTTGTGGCATGCTTGATGCAAGCGTTTCCTTGAGGTGAGTGGGAACATTTCTCCAAGTGGTGAAGACAGCTGCACGAAGGGCATTTATTGTCTGGAACTGCTGTCCAATTTTATAAACGTCCCTTGCCATCCATCCCCAAAGGTTCTCAACTGGATTTAGATCAGGGAAACACACAGGATGGTCCAAAGAATGATGTTATTCTCCTGGAAGAAGTCCTTGTCCTGTGGGTGTTGTGTACTGTAGCGTTGTCCTGTTGAAAAATCCAGTCGTTACCACGCAGACGAGGGCCATGAGGGATGCTCTCTGCAGCATCTGGATATGGTCAGCAGCCGTTTGACACCCCTGCACCTCCCGAAGCTCCATTGTTCCACTGAAGGAAAAAGCACGCCAGACGTTACGATGCCCCTTCCACTATGGCGTATAGAAAAACATCTCAGGTGGGATCTGCTTGTCATGCCACTAATGTTGGAAACCATCAAGACCATCAAGGTTACACTTTTTCTCATCAGAGAATAAAACTTTCTTCGACCTTTCAGTGTCCCATGTTTGGTGCTCTCTTGCAAAGTCCAAACAGTCAGTTCTGTGGGATTCAAGGAGACGAGACCTTTGAAAACCTTTTGTGTTTGGGAAGCCCTTCAGTCTCAGATACCATCTGATGGTTATTGGGCTGCAGTCGGCACCTGTAATTTGGGTCAAGGATTGTCCAGTGTCTTGACGGACAGCCAATTGGATTCTCCAGCTCCATGCTGGTGAAATTTTGGGGTCTTCCACTTGAGTTTTTTGTTCCATAACCCTCAGGATCACTTAGGAAATTCCAAATAACTGTCTTACTGCGTCCCACCTCGGCAGTGATGGCACGCTGCGAGAGACCCTGCTTATGCAGTTCAACAACCCGACCATGTTCAAAAAGGGAAAGTTTTTTTTCCTTTGCCATCAGAACAACATGACAGTGTGACTACCTGACAGAAAATCCACATTTTTGCACAGATTTGGCCTTTTAAAGGCATGTGGTCTTAAACTTTTGATTGGGACTGTATCTAGCCATATAGCTAATAGTGAAGCTTGTTTTAACATGTCTGTGTATGTGTTTCTGTAACAGGAAGCAGATGGCACGGTGGTGGTGGAAGGCATGCTGAATATCTGCTGGGGAGTACGGAGACCAATCAGGCTGAAAATACAGGATGACAAACAAATGTTTCCATTTGTTCCTAAGACCTCTCCAGATCCCACCAGTCCAGTCAGCCCACTGGAAAGCAAGAGGTTAAAATCAAATTTTGTACAATATTTTTAGTACTGGTGGGAAACAGTGGCTCTGTGGTTGCCACCATTGCCTCACAGCAAGAAGATCCTGCGTTTGCCTCCACCATCTGACCGCGGGCTTTGCATGAGCTCCCTGCGTCTGCATGGGTTCTCCCGAGGTACTCCAGCTTCTTCCCACAGTCCAAAGACATGCAATTGGTGAGGTCAAGTTAATTGGTGACTCTAAATTGGCCATAGGTGTGAAAGTTGGTGAATGGTTGTCTGTCTCTCTCTGTTATCTCTGCTTAAGATTGGCAACCTGTCCAAAGTGTACCCTGCCTCTCAACCAGTGGTAGCTGGACTAGGCTTCAGCTCACACGCGACCCTACTGCATGACTACAGTAGTTATATAGCTAAAGTGTTTCAGGTTTTGTTTTCATAGTCAATCTTTCTTTCAGAGGAATGTCACGATGGGGAGAATATGTTGACCTTCACCAGATAGATGAGATGGTTGAGACGCCACAAGAAACAATCAAAAACCCTTTACCAGGTGAACGCCTTTTTCTCTTCACTATCTCTGTCATTTCTCAAAAATGCTATCTTAACCATTAAATTATAGTATATTATAGATATTGTTGGACATAAGATCTTGGCTTATGGATTATCATCAAATCTTATTGTTAGCTTTAGTTGAATGTTATGTCTACTTGTTTACACATATTTAAAACTGTCTTGTTTATTGTAGTTACATCATATGTTGAATGTGAACCTTTTTTCTCTGGGGGTGTTTGCACAAAAAGGACCACCTGTTTATGAGACCTCAACCCTGCGCCCTCCAAAGCAGAAGAATCCAGAACAGGAAGCAGAGTCCAACCTGTTCCGCTGTATGAGTGATGCCTCGCTGGTTAAAAGAAGGAGGGGCACGGGAAAGTCAGCAGCTCAAAGAGAAAAAGAAAGGCAGCATCGCTTTTCAATCAATGGCCACTTCTACAATTACAAAGTGGGTTTCTGCTTAAAACTGCCCTCAGGGCTTCTTTTCTTCATCATGAGTTTAAGGTCAGTGTTGTTTCACTCTGTTCTACAGACCTCGATCTTCACTCCGTGCTTTGGTACACCAACTAAAGTTTGTATCTCTAGCAGAATGACCACAAACCAAGTCATTGAACAGCTGCTGCACAAGTTCAAGGTAAGTTTGGTACCAGAGGACTAGTACAAAAAACGATTGTAATTTATTTTGTGTACATGCAAGTGCTGTGAAAAAAAGGATTTTCACCTTCTTGAGTTTTTAAAGGTACAGTAAGTTTATGAGGTTTTTAATAGACAAAACCCCAATTTTGAACACATAAACAACATAGACATCACCAGTCCATTCTTTTATGCATGTGACTAGAGACCAGGCACACATATAATGCACCTCATAACTTTTCATTCAAAGGTCACAAATAGCTTACACACTGTACCTTTTAAAGTTTTTAAATGATGACTTCATTTATTCAGGAGGGAAAAAAACAGCAACCCAAACATATCTCTGCATTGTCCCCTCTTGTTAAATCATTAATTTTTTATTTATTTTTTTGGAATGCTCATGTTCATTTTCAGCAGCCACACCCAGGCCTCATTACTGTCAGACATGTTGAATCAGGTAATCGCTTAAATAGAACCTGTCTGAGAAAATTAAACGGGCTAAAGGAGCTCGGAAAGCGACACACATTGCCTAAACCTAACCTACTTAAGAACAGAGTCAGTGGCATCTCAGAATGGAAAGGGTTACAAAGCCATTTCTAAGGCTTTGGGATTCCAGTGAAACAAGGTGATAGCCATTATTCACAAAGGGAGAAAACTTGGAACACTGGGGAAACTTCCCAGGACTGGCCGCCCTACAAAACTTACAACATGAACTCATTACAACATTCAGGGCCTAACAAAAGAACCAGGTTTATATCCTGTCACATCAAAAAAGAACATTATACCAACAGACAATGGTGATAGTGCGATGCTCTGTAGTTACTCACGGAGCAACTCCAGGTCCTTGCTGCTCTAGGACCTGGATGACTTCTTGTAATTAACGGAATCATGAATTCCTGAAGGAGAGGTTTGGATAGCTTTTGTCCCTTAAAAAATGAAATCATGATCTAAAAATTGTAGTTTATGTTTGCTCAGGTTACCCTTAAATGAAAATTATGAACACAAATGAATATTAAAATTTGCTTAATGATCTGAAATAAATGAGTGTGACAAATATGCAAAAATCCAAGAAATTAGGAAGGAGTCAAAAAAAAGAAACCACAGCACTGTTTAGGGAGGGAGGTACACTATATTGGCAAATGTATTTAGTCACCCATATCAATCACTGAATCCAGGTGGTCCAATCACTTCCAGGGCCACTGGTGTGTAAAATCAAGTCACTAGGCACATAGAGTTCTTCTACAAACATTTGTGAAATAATGGGTTGCTCTCAGGGTTGCAAATATCTTATTAAACCTCATGGATTAAGCATGGGATGTAAATAATGTATAGTCAGAATTCATCAAACCATAATAACTTCATCCAAAAAAAAAATGTATATATTTATATATTACTTTGGCTGTATGTTCATCAGATACAGAACGATCCTCAGGAATTTGCTCTCTACTGTCTTCATCAAAGTGGAGGTGGGTTCATCTTTTCCACAAGAAATGCAATAATTAGACATAGCACAATAAAATGCTGCACCAATGTGGCACTTGTGTGCTTTGTCCAGAAAAAAGGAAGCTGAGTAACACAGACCAGCCGTTATGGGAGCGCACACTGCAGGGACCCTCTGATGACATCATGAAGATTTTTTTGATGGATGCGGATGAAGAGGAAGTTAGTGATGATGTGAGTGCAGTAGCCATGCCTTAACTTATGGTAACATAATGTTACCCTTTAAGTGTTTTAAGGTACCTTCATTTACTTCTAATAAAGAGTTTTCTGCTTTTTTATTTGTTGCAAACTATATCAACCATATTTTTCTTTGCAGGTAGCTCAATATCTGAACATTGAGCTTCCAATCCTTGAAAAAGTTTTACAGAAACTCAAAGACGAGGAGAACAGAGAGATACAAAGGATTGAGAACAAGTTAGTATACAATTTTATATGCTTAAACGCTCTTAAAATGCTTTCTCATGAGTGCAATTAAGTATTGAAAATAGAGAAAATTAATAAAGAGCCTAACGGTGCGTGCTTTACCACTTATGCATGACTACATCTTCCTTTACACCAGTCAAAAAGATGTGCATAACCAACATTCACCGGTCACGTATAAAAACTGTAGTAACGTTTGAGGTCAGGTGGTGGCGCCAATATTTAAACTTTCTCATTTATATTTTTGCTTGCTTATGGTTTCTGTATCTCTCTCTTAATCTATCTATCTATCT